GTCTAGGGACCCTATTTATAAGAAAATAGTCCGTAATTGATAGAAACGAATAAAAATTTGAAAGGGACTAAAACATGCTTCTGTCACCAACAATAGGACCCTGTCGCCCGGCGCTGCAAGACAGTTTTTGCGGATTTTGTTTTTATCATATCTTTTGATCCAAAAGTCCAAATAAGTCATATAATATGTAGTTGGAAAGATCTTGAAGTCTACTTTTCAACCCAATTAGAATCAGATTAAAATCTTTTGTAGATAAAAAGATATGACTGAAATAGTGGAAGGGTGTCAGTTTTGGATAGAGTTTCGTATCTCATTCATATCTTTTTCGTTATAACTCGGAATTAATATTATAATATATCATTGGAAAGATAATTTCAAGATCTATCCAACCATATAAGATTTAGATAAAGATTATGAGGAACAAAAATAATATCTGACTGTCTTTGAAAATCTTTAAATTCGAATAGAATTAGGACTTTAAAAGGAAAGTTTTTAAAAAGGAAAGTTTTTATCAATTTCAAATTCTATGATCTTATCTTTTAAAAAAGGATAATTAAGATCTTTTATAATCTTATAGAAACTTCTAATTAAATACTAATTAGTCTAGGAATGGGATTAAATCTTTGGACCCTCCACATGATCATTGGGTCGCAGGTAAAATCCGATTTGGGCCCATTTTAGTATTTTGGTCATAACTTTCTCATTATTCATCGGAATTGGGCTTATAATATATCGTTGGAAAGGTATTTTCAAGCCCCATCCAACTACACTATTATTGGGCTCTTTTCATGGATCAAAATAAAATTAATTGGACGTTTTTTATAAATAGATTAAGAAAAGAAATATTTTCGAAAACAGAAAGAAGTATTTTTATTAAAACGATCGCATCACAAGACTTTTCACATTTCACCTCGTTTGATAATCAAATGACGTGAAAGATATTCATCACTGGGTTTGGTTTTTGGGGAAACACAATTAGGTGTATTCATTAGCCATCCACCCTTGAATTCTTGCAGTTACTTTCTTAACAAGAGGTCTACACTGTGCAATTGTAAGATTCTTAGAAGAGAGAGGAACCCCAAGATATCTAAAAGGAATAGACCCTTGAGACACTATAAGAAGCTCTCTAAGTTTAGTCTGTACTTCAGCATAAATCCCACCAAAGTAGAATACAGATTATAAGGAAGAGCTAGATTCTCTCTGTAAAAAAATTAAGTTTACTTCTGTAAAAAAAATTAAGTTTACTAAAATCTTTAATCTTAATCCTTTCAAAAATAATACGGATACTCCCTCCGTTTTTAAATACTTACTCCATCTCTCTTGGACACGCATGCCAATGTTAATCTTTGATCACTAATATTTTTAATTATCAATAAGTATAAATTGTAACAATTGAAAATTAATAATCGATTCATTGAGATGATTCCAACAAGTACCCACAAGACTAAATTTTTTCTTATGTATAAATCACAAACATTTAGTAAGACAAATGAATAGTGCAAAAATAGAAATAGAGCAAGTATTTAAAAATGGAGGGAGTAATAATAAAATAAATATTCCAACTGATGTCCAATTTCATACCCGAAACCGACCCCACCTAATCCAATTCCGGGTTTGGGAACCCAAAACATAGGCCTTGTTTGGTTGAACAAAAAAAATGGGGGAATTGAAAAATCATGGGAATTGTTTGGTTGACTATAAAAAGTGAAATATGTCATGGGAATTTCCAATTACTACAAAATGTGAGAAATAAATTACCAAGGCTCCCCTTGGTAAATCAAAATTCTCGTGAATTATAATTTCCTTTATAACAACCAAACAAATGTATGCAATTCCTAGAAAATTAAATGTGGAAATTTAATTCCAATGAAATGCAATTGCTGGGAAAAATCCCATCTCAACCAAACAACACCATAGTCTCCTGGACTCTCGTCCCCCCTTTCTCTTCAAGGATTTTTTACGAAAGTAAGCTTAATTGGCAAACAATTTATTAACCTAGACGCGTGGCTGATCTCACGATTTACAAAAAAGCTGATCTCACGAGAACCCCAGCGGGATGCTCTACACAGATGGCGATACAACATCGCCAGACAAGCACTGCCCCAGCTGTAGCCACGAATATGCTCCCAGTCGTGGTCTACCAGCTGCAGGTAAATGATCTGTAAATGGTTGCCACTCTTGCCACTGAACAACACACCCGAGATGAGCAGAAAAAGGTACGCTCGAGCATGTCTCGCAATAGTGGCCTCATCAGCACCATCAGGCAACACACGAAAAGTGTCGCGTATCCAGCCGGTCCTCAATCCGCCGCCCCTGATATCGTCCGGTCTTGGCTGAACCTCGAGAACCTGAGCTACATAACCGGGGGGATCGGCCAACGCAGATCCAGACACCGGACTCCCATGAATGGGAAGTCGTGTGAGTATCGCCACGTCTCGCAACGTCACGGTCGCCTCCCCAACAGGTAGATGGAAGGAGTGCGTCTCCTGCCTCCATCTCTCCACAAGCGCAGTAACAAGCGTTGGGTCGACCTCTCTGAACGCCATCCGATGTATACCCATGAAGCCAGCGTACTCCACGAAAGGCAGAATGCGGGGATAGATAACCCAATCGCCAAGGAATGCAACAGTGTCGTGCCTGCATGTCAGTATGCCCGCCGGATCAACCGACTGACTCCAAATGTCAACGCTACGATGTGTGTCCTGTAGTGTAAGGACAGAAGGGTCGGTGGGTCCGGGTGTCCTATCTCGGGTGTCCATGGTATCTGTTCATAAACAGTTATAATCCAACAATTAAAAAGTAAAAATTACATATAAGCGATAACAAAATACAGAATTTCAAATCTCATACTTCAATCTAAAAATCCATCTGTTACAATCAATTGAAATGTAAATGCAAGCGGAAATACTTGGAAGTTTGCATCCACACTTGTAGCAATCAACAATGTTCCTTTAAATTTCCCGTACAAATGCGTCCCATCGATACAGATGACAGACATACAATGTTTAAAACCTTCAACACAAGGGCCGAAGGCCCAAAATACTCGTTCAAACACTTCCATGTTGCTGTAATAAACACCGTCTACCAGAGCTTTGTGTTTCCATACAACAACGGTTCCCAGGTTTGACTGTTTGAGTGCTTCCATGAAGTGCGGAAGTCGGCCATAAGAACTCTCCCAATCTCCAAATACTTCAGTTATGGCTTTCTCCCTAGCATACCATGCTCTTCGATAAGTAACGTCGAACTGAAAATGCTTGGATATGAGTTCCTGTATAAATTCAACTTTCAAGCATGGATCTTTCTGCACAAAAGACTTCACAAAATCGGAAATTATGGATGAATCCAAGTGTGCATGATCTGTAGGTAACACTTCAGTGACACAGGTGTCCCGGTGCGGGCCTTTGTATGTGACTATGGTAAAGCCGTCTGAGTGCTCACTTTTTTTGGTGCCTCGTAGCGACCAACCACAATTCTTCTTGCACCGCAGATGAAGGACCTTCTCATTCGAGGTCACTGTGGTGTAGAATTGGTTCCTTTGTATAGAATACTTCTTCACCATTTCCTGAAGCAGTTTCTTAGATTCAAAGAACATACCCTTCTCAAACTCCCCCCCGATCACAAATGTTGTATGACTACCTGATTCGGCCCAATATTGATCAACCTCATAATTCTCATTTACTTGACTTAACCAAGGAATAGGAGTTCTAACCATGGCCTCCCCACCTTCCATGTCTGTAGAATCAACATCCATGTTATCCAGAATTGGTTCCTCCTCTTCGCTCTCAGCCTCATCATTTGTTTCCCGTAGCGCATCATACAGAGTCAACTCGTTATTCACCATATGTTGTAGATTTTCAAGATGATTCACCAATGGTTGAGACGGTGATGTATGATCATCATGCTGCGTAGGTGAATAACTTTGGAGTTGCATGGGAGAAGATATAACTGTAGGTGAATAATATTGGAGTTCCATATTTCCACCACTATACTGGACATTCGGTCCATCAGACACAAATTCACCCCCCCCATCGGCATAAAAAAGCTGCGTTTTGTGCAGCCATATTCTATACAACAACCAAAAACACATCTTAATTGCATGCAATCTCCACCAATTCGCACAAAAACAACCAAGATATTCACACTATAACACATAATTAACCAACATTGTTCCAATTCACATTACAACCACAACAAAGTACACAACGAACATATTCACACTATAACAACCAACATATTCTACATAACAAAATTTTCGTAATTAAACAACAATGTAGGCTACTTTATCAAACTAAAACAACAATTTCATCAACATTATCAACAATTTCATCAACATTTTCAACAATTTTATCAAACATTTCCACAATTTCATCATAAACTTTCTTACTAAACTAACATCAATTTAGGGCTTTTATACTAGACAATTATCAAATTACAACAAACCAACTTAGAATTATCAACATAATTGTCAATTTACATCAAACTAACTTAGAATAAACAACAACATTATCAAATTAAAACAATGTAGTATATAATTATCAAACTAACCTAGGTTTTTAAATTTTAAAAACAAATAAGTGAGAAGTACTAACAATGTGATTATAAAGAAGAGGAGAGGCGCGGCGGCAGCAGGCAATAGGCGGCGGCGACGGCAGAGCTTTGAGGAAGATAGGCTATTGCGTGAGGAAGAGTGAGTTTGAGTTTTTAGTTTTGAGGAAGAGTGAGTGCGTGAAAAATATACCAGGCAAAACCGCTGACTCAGTCAGCGTTTTAAGGGCTGTTACAGCCTGAGACAAAAACGCTGACTGAGGCAGCGTTTTTATGTATTTCCATATTTTTAAATAAAAAAATTTGTATTTCACTAAATAAGAAATTTCAAAAAAAATAATAACAGAGGCAGCGTTTTACCTCAGAAGCTCAATTCCGTAAATAGTTTGGCCACGCGTCTATATTCGTAAATAGTTTGCTAATAGGGCTCAGTTTCGTAAAAAATCCTCTCTTCAACTTCTCACTCTCTTTCAGTCACAATTATAGCGTAAAACAAAGCGGAGGTCCTCCACCTTGATTGTCAAAATCTTCACTCAAATTCATGAAAACCCCAAAATTCAGAAATCTCTCTTCTTCATCAACAACAAGATCTAAAACCTCAGCCTTTCCTTCATCTCTCTCGATCTAAAACCCCTTTCAGCTCGCAAGATCTGAAAACCTAAACTCTTCCTGACGCGCGTGCCAGTTGCGGGGATGAGTGGACGCCGCCCTGCTCAGCCCGCTAGTCGCGCCATCAGTGGCCCTTCTGCTAAGTCAGCTTCTCTCTCTTACTTTCTCTAATTCTCTTACCTAATTTATCTAATTTTGATGTTAATTTGTGATTGTTTTATTATTTTATTTCAATAGGAAAGTAAATATGAATGAAATTAATTTTGTTAAGGGTTATACACTAGGAAAAATTACAAATAATTGATTTATATATATATATATAATCACTTCTACGAAGTATTATTATTTAATTAATCAGTGGGTGATAAATGTTTCGTGTTTTCGATTGTGTTAATTTGGGTAGAATTTTAGAATTGAACTTGTTCTTTAGTTTAAGAGTTGAGGTTATAGGTCAGAATGTTCGGCATTTACGAAGGAGTATGTTATGAAAATGAGTGTAGTAGAGATGCGAATGTTGAGATTGATAAAGTCGCGTTTTTATTTATTTCCGAACTTGAATTTGCTGTGTTTATCAGTTCTGCAGGAGCATCATCACCTACTGTTCCTCCAAACTTTGGTGGAGCAGATTGGTCTGGTCATGGCCCGGGCTCTAAGACAGGTTCTCTATCAGGGATTGCTACACAACCGCCTCGGACTTCATTGAGCACGAGCGCTGGTGGCTCTGCACTTGGATCATCACAGCCTTCATGCAGACCTTGGGAAAGAGGAGACCTACTCAGGCGACTTGCCACATTTAATCCAGGGAATTGGTTTGGGAAACCAAAGGTTCGTACCTTGTGTTACTAATGATGTGCCTTTGATTTTAGCTTTCTTTCTCTTGTCATGCAATGTCACATGATGTTTAATGTGTTATACTTACTCTCTGAACTATAATTGACCCTGCCTTTAGAATGTTATTCGTTCACTCGTTTGATATCATTTTGAAAGGATACTTTGATGTTCATATGTTAAGGGGTTTTTGGGGCTAATTTTTTTTCAACATTGCTTTTGATACTGTGATAAATCCTTTATGTTTCACGCTTGAAGTGGTCTGGACCTTGATTTTTTGGTTTATATTCGACCCAACTATGGCCCAAGTGGATTTTTTTATCTCATGATTGGTGTGGCTTAGGCATAATAGGATGGTAGTGTTCAAGAGTTAGTAAAAGGGCAAGTGCCTAAGGGGATGAAAAAAAGGGCAAGAGCTTGATTGTTTATTGATGGTTAAACTTTTAGACAACAATATCTTTTTTATCTTCTTAAATGTGAGACCACTTAAAGATGTTATTTGTGTTCAAGAGCTTCCATCAATTGGTCATATGCACAAATTCGACTTCAATGTTCAGAGTGAGATATGACAATTTGAACTGCTGAAGCTGACTAGTTGCACAATTGGCGGTGCAAATTGTGAAACACAAGCATTAATGCACATTTTAATGTATGCACAATTATGCACCGACAACATTGCAGCTAAAATTTGGATTTTCTTTAGTTTAAGTAAAATGATCTTAGCCTTTCATTTGCAGTTACCAAGGTCTCATATTAAAAATTTATTTGGAGATACCTTAAGTAGTAGTAGTAGCCACCCTATAAAAAGGGATGTATTAGCTTAAAATCAGACTTTAGATTATTGAGAAAAGAACTTGCTAGCTTAAGAGTTGAGCATTACTTTTCATCTCTGAGTGCTTATGCTCCTTCCACATCAGATCATTTTAAACCTTGTTTCATCAAACTTGGTGATTAATAAGTTAATGTTTTACCCTTTTATTGCCTTATCTTAATCTTATCCTAATTTCATACAATTCTATAAATAGTATTCTGAAGGGACAAAATTAAGAAATTTGGAAGTTTTCTTGAAGATTTTGGATTATATTGAGACTTCTTTTTCCAAGAACTAACCTTTATTTAGGTGAAAAGACCAATTCCTAGAATAAGCCAATCAGTTACCTAGTATGTTCCTCCAATTCCAGTTTCTAATTGTACATAGGTGCAAGCTGCAAGTCTACACCCTTAAAAGCCGATAATTAATTGGCTGTTAGAGAGTGTCCCTTTTTTTTAATTTTTTTTTTTTTATAGAAGTGGTTAAGGGAAGCATATATTTAAATACTTGTACGAATAATAGTCTATAATAATTCCAAAAAAATGATAAGAGTATAATGATAATATAAAACTCATTTAGCATATGGAGTCCACAAGGATCACATCCCACTTATATATGGCTCAACATATGATTGATTAGTATAAGTTGATCCTAAAATTTCTCTTGATATCTTAAAATCCACTCATGCACGGAAGAACCTCACTACAACTCATTTTTAGATCTTCTTTACGATGATCAGGAATGCTTGTGTGTCAAGCTATGTTATTAGGACGCGGCATTTTTGCCATCATACCCGGGTCACACAGATCCGGTTATGAAATCCGTTCCGGACTCGCCGTCTAGCTATGGGTTACGGCTATGTTGTTTTGAAGCAGGGAGGAAGATGGAGTCACAATAGCCATTGAAGAAAAGAAGCTTATAGAGAGAGAGTAGAGAAGGAAGAACGAAGAAAGCAACCATTAAAGAAAGATGAAGGGTTTTAAGTATTTCATTATCTTTTTTTTTTTTTAATCATATTGAGGAATAACTCTTTTTTAAAAAGGCTTTCTGATTTCCGAAGAAAGAGATGTAATGTACATTTATTTTTAAAAAGGCTTTGGGGTTTCCAAGAAATTGGTTCATAAAAGCTTTGTGGTACTCATTTTTTTAATAATAAATCTGGTTGGCTTCCCAAACAGGCTTTCATAAGAGTTTATAATGTTTAAATTAAATATTATATTATTTATCTTAGTTATTTAAAAGTTATGTATCAAAATTTATTGAATAAATATTGAATCAAAAGATTTTTGATCTTTGCCAAATAAAAAATAAATAAAAACGTTTTTCTTATTGATGTTATTATTTTTTCCTTAAAAAATTTATTGCCGTATCCGTACTTGAGTCCAAAGTTAAGACGGTGTCCCCGTGTCCTAAAATGATGTATCGGACACTCGGATCCATACCAAAATCGGATACCCGTACCCGTGTCAATGTAACATAGGTGTCAACAATGCTCACAAAGATGCTCCCTGGGACGCTTGAGTCTCACTCCTTTTTAAGTTAGGAGATTAGAATAGTTGACGAAGGAGAGATCATGTATAACTTGTAATCCGCATCTTATGACATGTGAAGTGGCTTGAGAAAAGGTTCATGCTAAAGAGAGAAAAGTAGGCAGTAGGCTTAGGTGTTGGCTTCACATTTGCTTTGCTGCAGGTAGTTCATTATACTATTTGATAATGAATTTCATATTGGAATTCCATGCTGTAGAGAGTAATTCTTCTTCTTCTTTAGAGAGTAATTCTTCTTATTATTATATATATAAAAATAAGAATGCTGAAGATACTTCTGATTATTGGTAGACTCTTTTGCAGTAGAGGGAAATGCAGGCAGGCTTCTGTTTTTTTGAACTAATAGTGTTTTTGTGTGTGTTTTCCTACATTGTAAATTGTAAGTCTTTCATGTGTAAATGCAGGCTGCTAGTTCATTAGCTTGTGCCCGTAGAGGATGGGTAAATATTGGTATTGATAAGATTGAATGTGAGACGTGTGGTGCAAGCCTTAAATATGTTACGACTGCTGGCTGGATGTCTTCTGAAGGTGAATACTTGTTTTTAGCTTTGGCTTTGCATTTTGTTTATTTATTAACTGCTTTTACGATGCTTGACACATATTTGTGAGGGAATTCAACAATATCTTTGGCTATTTAGTGTCAGTTTGGAACCTGTGAGAGAACTATATAAACTGCTTCTATTAATTTGTTCCTTATGCGTGCTTTTGATGAGGTCAATCTCTGGAAAAATTCTGGAATCTCTGTAGATGATTAATTTTCAATCTGTTAGTCTTTCACAAGTTCTTTATTTTTTATTTATTTATTTTCTTAAATTTTTTTTGTTGAGTCTAGGAAAGGTTTCTGCTTATGAATGTTTATTTATTTATTTTTTTAATTATGATTTCTTATGGTTATATGGAGTACTTCATTAATGAAGCCTCTTTTGGTGGGTTGGCAAACTTTGCTTACTTGCTTTTTTAATACGAAAACCATGAGAAGAAAATAAAGCAGTTGCAGTTGAGTTGTTCTTAATTGGGATCTCACAGTAAAGTGGAATGGATTGCTGAGTTCCCAATGTTGTTTCATCCATTGTTAACAATAACTGTTCTGAAATTTAACAGCTGAAATATTGTACTTCATTTTTTTTAATGGGCACTTTGATTTTGGATACTATTCGCAAATTGTACTTGGACTAGTTTTGTGACTTATAGCTATGAGAAAACAATCATGTGGGATCTTGTTTGAATTGTCTCAATGTATGTTTTATTAATATCAAATATATACATGTTCATAATTAGAAATATTAACTGTTAAAATTGTTTGTTGGCAAATGTGATAATGAAATTTGTCAACTAAGAAGAGAGGAAGTAATAAAAGCCAAGTTTTTTTTTCCTCGACGGACACAAGTGGTGTGTTTTTGAGCATTTGGGTAGCAATATGCCATATGTATAGATTGATTTGGCTTTCAGCCAATTATATAAGTGTAAGTTTATAAACAAGCCAATTTCGTCGCTTGTGAGCAACATTTCTTTCTTTATTTAGAGGTGTAACATGGCCTGCACCTAGAAGCCCTTATTGTTTTTTGTTTTTCGTTTTTCTCCTCTCATTTATGGAGTATAATCTATTTGTTATGGGAAGTCTTGGTTAATCATCTATTTTCATTTTCGTTGGGTTGGGTTTTTAACTAATAGTGTTAGTAGCCTTAGTAAAGTATCTAGAATTTGATTGACCTTAGAAGATGAAGATATAATTCATGTATTTTGACATCTGAGATCTAGCAGAAAACCATTCCTATTCTGACATTTGCACTGGTGCTCTTTTCCACATCCTTTGCACTTTGCAGTCTCCTGCCAATTTATTTATTTTATTATTATCGTTATTATTATTATTATTTTTTTTTAATCTAAGATTTAAAAGTAAAGGCTATTGCTTATTTCGTCTTTTTTTTCTTTAAGCTGTTTCAATATGTTGTATGACTTTGTAACTTTGAGTTTAAGGTACCCTAAGTTGGAATACTGAAACCTAAACCAGTAATAGCCAAAATAACTTTTTTATTGTCTCCAATCATCTGCAACTACATTATGACAGCATTACTTTCTCAGCAACACAACTGTAACTTGCACGTTCCTTTAATAGAGTGAAATTATGCTATTGAAGGATGAACCTCTAATTGGAATAGAAAGACGTGAAGAAGTAAATTAAGGAGCAATTTTGAATTTTAGATGAGAATAATAATGGATGATTATTTTGAGGTTTTAAGAAAATACTTATTTTGGGACAAAGAGAATAATTTATTATTACTTTGGTAGGATTTTGTTCTTTAGGATATGCTTTGTTCAGCATTCCATATTACAATGATAATGCATTAACTACCTAAAACCTAGTCAATTTACTGCTGCACTTCACTATGGCGTAATTCACATCACCATTATTCAAAATTTATGGACATCTAATTTTGAGTTAAAAAATATTTGCACATTTAGTACAAAATATCAATCAATCAATCAAAGCCTTAATCCCATAAGTAGGGTCAGCTACATGAACCAAAAGTGATTATTTTGTATAGTCATCCACAAAAATCTTCCTCCTCCACCCCTTACGATCAAATATCTCATTCTTATGCAAATCCATATACTTCATATCCTTCCAAAGTCCTTCCAACCAAGTCAATTACAGTCTCTCTATACCTCTCCATGATCCCACTCTTCGTACTGGTGCACCTTGGGTCTCCGTATCACATACCTGAACCAAAGCAGAAGATTTTCCTTAGTTTGTCTGCAATGCTTGCGACCTCACTTTCTTGCTAATAACTTCATTTTGATTCTATCTCTTAGAGTGTTTCTGTACATCCATCTTAACATGCGCATTTATGTAACCTCCCTTTTTTTTTTTTTAATGTGCTCCTTAGAAGCTCAACATTCAGTACAAAAAATATGCACATAAAATCCTTATCATCCTTCTCATTTTAAAGAACTTCTCATTTGACCCTATCTGTAGAAATCTAGTTGTATTGTTGTTTCCTTAGGTGTGATTAAATTAATGTGCTCTTTGCCTTAACAAATGGCATATTGTTGTGCTTTTTGTCTCTTTGGATTTTGAAACTTTGTCTCTGTTGCTTAACATCTGTGTGTTCTGCAGCTTCATATCTCTGATTATACTTTATCTTCTCGTCACCTAGGTCTTTTTAAAGTCGCGTTATTGTGTCTCAGTTTCTCAAATATCATAATAAATCACTTTGTTCTATGTTTTCAATGAAGCTGATGGTGCAGCTGAAGAGTTTTCCAAACATCTTGATTCAGGACACAAGGGAACCTGCCCTTGGAGAGGAAATATCTGTCCAGAGAGCCTGGTGCAGTTTCCTCCAACTCCTCCATCAGCTCTGATCGGAGGATACAAAGATCGGTGTGATGGGCTCTTGCAGTTTGCTGCACTACCAGTGGTAGCTGCTTCTGCAATTGAGCAGATGCGCATTTCCCATGGGCCACAAATTGATCGGTTTCTTGCTAACTTCGTTAACTTTTTGATCGGGGAGCCAAGCATTAAGTCAGAAAATTTCTCAGGGATGGATCCCTCTAAAGAAGAGGCGTTCTCTTTATATTGTCGTGTATGATGCCTTTAAACCTACTTTATTTATTGGACAGTATATGTTCTACTATTTGTTTCCTTACTTTTTCTTCTTCTCTAAATATCTTGTAGGCACAAAAGCTGATAGCCTTATGTGGATGGGAACCTAGATGGCTTCCAGATATCCAGGATTGTGAAGACCATTCTGCTCAATCTGCTAGAAATGGGTATTCTGTAGGACTGTCTATGAAATGTGGTCATCCTAATGATCCTGGTCCTAGCAAGAAAGCTTTCTCAAGTACAGCCAAAAAAGATTCTGGCAAGAATGAAGTTATGGGTCCTGAATCTAAATGCGAGTCTAGGTCACCGTTGCTGGATTGCAGCCTATGTGGTGCTACTGTGAGAATCTGGAACTTCATTACTATTTCTCGCCCTGTTTGTGTACTGCCCAATGGCATTGAGATCCCTGAGACAAGTAAAAAGATGGTTTTAACTCGCGGTGTGAGTGCAGCCAGTGGAATCAGTGGATGGGTGGATGGTGATGGCATGGAGAAAGAGCAGGCCGAATACCATGATGAAGCTGCTACTATAGTTGAGGGAAAGCTCACGTCAAATGCAGCTGTTGATTTAAATCTAACTATGGCTGGTGGCTTGTTATCAGGAAATGCTCATGCGCCTGAAATCTCTCAGCAATATCGTGATGTCGACTTAGGGAAAGATCTAATGATTGGACAACCTTCTAACAGCGAGGTTGGTGATCGTGCTGCTTCCTATGAATCGCGAGGACCAAGTACTCGTAAACGAAGCTTGGATGAGGGTGGAAGCACGGTAGACAGGCCAATTTTGAGGATGCAACAGGCTGATAGTGTTGAGGGATCAGTTATTGACCGTGATGTTGATGAAGTTGATGATGGTAAGCAGTATCTTGCTGAGCCCTCAAAGCGTGCTCGTGAGTCTGATGTTATTGAAAGGTGTGGGTCTTCATTTCGGAGAGATTCATCTGGTGCAGGCCCTAGCAACTCGCAAGGCATTGATATTGAAGTAGATGAAAGAAGAATAGATGTATTACAAGGAAATGACGAAGTTCACCGCTTTCCTGCTACTAGAGATTCAACACATGCATCCTCTGTTATAGCAATGGATACTATTTGTCACAGTGCAGATGATGATTCTATGGAAAGTGTTGAAAATCATCCTGGAGATGTTGATGATATTAATTTTCCTTCAGTGGCCATGGATAAGAATGCTGATACGATTGACACTTCAGACCTAAATTATAGTAATCAGGCACAACAAAGTGCCTGTTTTCAACCAGCAGCTGTTCAGGCTGGTGGAGAAATTGGTGTAAGTAGCACAAATGATGACGACGAAGTACTGAACACAGATACAATTACTGCGCCAGCTAGGGATGGCCCTAGTATAGGTGTAAGTGGTGGAAGTGTTGGGATGGGTGCAAGTCACGAAGCTGAGATTCATGGGACTGATGTTTTTGCAAATAGGTCTGACAGTGGTGTTGGTGATGTGGAGCTTATAGCTGAGGTTGTTGAAAATCAGGGACAGACCGGTGAGTTTGCCCCTGAACGTAGATCCAGAGATGGTTTTATTGAGGTGATGAATAAAGAGGATCCTCATGGAGATAGTCAAGACGTTGTATCACGCTCAATGGGTAGGGCAGATAGTGGGTCGAAAGTTGTTGGTTCAAGGAAAGCGGAATCTGTAGAAAGTGGCGAGAAGAATAGTGAGATGCAAGTATTAGCCCAGGAACCTAGTGTTCATCCTTCTCTATCTTGCAATGCTATTATGTATTCAGGCATTGAGGCGTCCAAGGAAGAAGTATCTCAAGGAGGTAAGCAGTCACCTGCTGACGAGGGTGCATATCCAGAGTCAGATTATATGACGACCAATGGGACAGGTAAATTTTGGTGTTCTTTTAACCGTAGTTTTTCATGCTATTGCTCCTGGAAGTTTGGAACCATAAGTTAGGACGAAACTTTTTCATATCAGGCATGCATGTGAGGTTATTGATCTAACCCTAAGCTGTTAATTCAGCAGCAGGCTCAAAAATAAAATCACGCTAGTTTATTCAATGTTTCTTTTTCCTATAAAATTCAGGGCCTGACGCAGATTTGGTTTTCTCAATGGTGTCTACTTAAGGTTTAGGATTTTGATATAGTATCAGTTCTTTGTGAGTGTTTAGGTTGTCATGTTTTATTTTCCCCCTTTTACTTCTGTCTCTCTACCATCATTTTCTGTTTGTTGACAATGTAATTGAATAAACTTGATCTTGGTTGTACTTAAGGTTTAGGATTTTGATATAGTATCAGTTCTTTGTGAGTGTTTAGGTTGTCATGTTTTATTTCCCCCCTTTTACTTCTGTCTCTCTACCATCATTTTCTGTTTGTTGACAATGTAATTGAATAAACTTGATCTTGGTTGTGATTCTTGTGAAATGTATCTTGGAGATGAAAGAGCAAAGATCAGTGAAACAATTTTTTTTATTTATTATTGTTATTATTTGGCAAAAATGGCCTCAACAGCACAAACATGAACTTTAACTAGTAGTTGTAGCAGCACAAATTTCTTCATTAGGCGCACAAAATATCATAAATGAAACTCGGTACTAGAGATTCAATCAGAGACGGGGAAGGGGAATCTTTAATAATTTATTATTATCAAAAAGCGCCTTGCATTGCTTACCTCGATTGACATGTGGGAAGGTTGATCATTTAAGGTTACACGGGTCATAATAATCCTTAAGGATCAATTTTAAGATCAAATATAGCAAAAAAAAAAGACACCATAACGCATCGATTTGGGTGCTCTAAAATGCCTTAGTTAAGGGCTTGGGGTCTATTTGGAGTTTTGGACCATAAGGGTCAAATTTGAACTCAAAATTGGCAAAAAAAAAAAAAAAAAAAAAAAAAACAATAAATATTAAAGATTCCCCATCTCTAGACTCTAGTAGAATCTCCGATGCATGATTTCATTTATGATGTTTCGCGCACATAACGAAGAAGTTTGTGTTTTTATGCCAACTAATCATAGTTCATGTTGCTATGCACCCCTTGTTAAAAGTTCAAACCAATTTTGCCGTATTATTTTTTATTTTTTCAGCGCTAATATATTGTCAGTTATCTGGAAAACTTAGTAGCTAATTTTGGAGCTTTCAGCCTTTTTCCTTGTATACGTTATTTCAAGTTTACCTTTTAGCTGATATAGCTATTCCTGGTCAATGCATGCAGGGCCTCCGAATGGCTTTCCTTATATACTTAATTTCAAGTTTACCTTTTAGCTAATATAGCTACTCCCGGTCAATGCATGCAGGTCCTCCAAATGGAGCTAGTAACTTTGAAGGTGCTGAATTTGATCCAATTAAGCATCACAATAGTTTCTGTCCTTGGGTGAATGGAAATGTTGCTGCAGCTGGTTGCAGCACTGTTGCCAGTTCCTCGGCTGGTGTTGTAGCTCTCTGTGGCTGGCAGCTTACCCTTGATGCTCTGGACGCTTTTCAATCCCTGGGGCATATTCCAGTTCAAGCTGTGGAATCCGAGTCTGCAGCATCACTGTATAAGGTATGTCTCTTGCAGTTTACCATTGCAAATTAAATAATTGCTACTTCCTCCGTTTTTTAATAGTTGCAACACACTTTTTCACGGTATTTAAGAAAGGTGGGGTATAATGCACTTCAAAATAGGATGAGTGGTTGTTAGGAGTGTAATTTAGTGGGCCATATGCTTTAAATGAGGGAAATAGTATAGTTTTTCCCTAAAATAACTTTCCATTTATAGTGTGTTGCAAGTATTGTGACATTTCCATTTTAGGGAAGTGTTGCAAGTATTAAAAAACGGGGGAAGTATTAAATATTGCTGATGTTGTTAGGGAATAGGGATTATGTATACTGACGCCTACTTTGCTTGTTTGTTGGGTTGAGGCTTTGCTGTATATATATGTTCTTTGCTGGTTCGTAATTGTTATGATATTTGGGTTTACCGTCATTTACAATTTGCTCAAGTCCGTGGTTATTCTCATAATATTCTTTGTTTGGTGTTTGAGATTGTATAGACTAAAGTGCAGCTTTCTTTGTTTGTACTCCTGTGTATTTTTTTTTTTTTTTTCAAGTTGTGCAGTTTGACGGGCACATAGTTTAAGGTAGTTTAATTGACTTTAATATAACAAGATGTTAGTGAGGTAGTTGGAATATATACATAAAAGGTAAGAAACGATAGTGTAGTTAATAGTTAATTGAAAAGTGAACTATGAGAGAGGAGAAAATGAATTTTTTAAACAAAATAAAGTTGGAGTGGGGAACTTGAGAGGAGGGAGTATTAAAATGTAGTAGTTTGCCAAAAAAGAAAGTGTATAACACTTAAACTAAATGGTTGATTAAGGCAAGTATAACACTTTACAAAACAAAATACGGGAGTATCTAAAATGGAAGCTCTGCTAGTTTTGGCATCCCGTATGCATGTCTAATTTTGCTGCAAACTACTTCCTCTGTTTTTTCCTTAGTTGTTCCACTTTGACTTGGCAAGTTTGCCAATGTGCAACTTTTACCCTTAATATCTTTCATTGTGTAATTATAAAAATGGTTTTTGAAAATCTTTATTGAGATGAATCTGATAAGATCCAACATAATTTGATTTTATTACATATATATAGCAAAGGATGGTCAAAGTGAAGTGGATCAATACTGTTGAATAGTGTTAGTGAACAACTAGATAAGCTAAGTAAATTGATCTTTTGGTTGTTTCATAATTGGAAATGCTATTAAATGTTTTGCCTTTTCAGTTATTGAAATATTCTGATATCAGCTTAATTATTTTCTGGTAGGATGATCACCTAACTTCTAGCCATAAACTTGTAGCACACAATTCCTTCAGCAAAAGCCGCGGGCAAAGTGGAACTTGAATCATAAGCACAGCATGAGTTATGCTTATGCAGGTAAGCTCACTGTGATACAGAAGACTGTTCTTCATGATTATGTAAGCTCTAATATCACTTTTATGGTGTAGTTATCAGGGTTCTTGTGCTAGTGACTCTCTTGTAAAATCTCCTTCATCTTTTCTCTACTATATAATAAATAATTTAATAAAAGGACCCCTCATAATACTTAAGTAGCAATTGACTCAAGTGCCTTCTTAATCCTTCTTAATCATTGCCAATGATTTTTTATTCTTTTTTGGTGCAAAATCACCATGCCAATGATGGATGTTCTTGCAATCAAAGAGGGGTACTAAAAGTCTGAAACCAATTTATATCCCATTACCAAAAAATGATGCCAACAATAAGGTTTATACAGGAGAATGTTTCACACACTTAAAGCCTAGCCTGCTCACTGAGTCACGGTCTATCTTACCACCCATTTCTATTGAGGCGCCCAAGATCTGTCTTTGTTAGCAGCAACTAAAGTGTCCACTTTTCTATTACAGTTTATGAAATAAAAAGATGTTATATTTTTTGTTTGTGCTTATGTTCAACCACATTGTGATTTAATTTAGTTGGAGTTGTGATGTAATCCCAATTTCCGGTGTTGCTTGCATTAAGAATTTTAAGACTGTTCTATCGTATACAAGTTTCTAGAGGTCCTGTCATGCTGTCTACTTGATGTTGTGGATAGACATAGGAACCTGAGGGTAGGAATCTGATGCGTATAGTATGTGTTTTTTTATTTGAAATTTTGTGGTTTGTGTGATTTATTGAGTGGTTTAGATGTCAACAGCATGGTTTGGTTTAGATTTTAATGGCATGGGAAGAACTAGGTGGATGAGTGTAAACTTTGTAGATAAGAAAAAATCATGATGTTCTCTAGATTTTTGCACAGGATTTTGTACAGAATATACAAGTGAAAAACTAGAGTAGAAATTGAGTGGGGGACCCAACTCTAAAAGATGAAATAAAGCGAAACTATATATAAAAAAAATCATTAATTAGCCAGAAATGGAGTACAAAAACATACAACAGCCCACCACTCATCACTGAAACCAAAGGATACTATCAATATCTCCCATTAATTTATTAATAATCTATATATTCAGCAGCTCCCCATCTTTAAGGATTGGTGGAAACAATGGACTCTCCATCAGTTTCGGTTCTAAAACAATCAGATTGTGTCTATTTATTTATGAGCAAGTTTCTCATTTGATCAGTTGTCTACAAGGAACTTTACATATAATATCCTTGAAAAAGCTTCAAACTCCATACATTTCGTATTGATGTTTTTTAATAACATAACATTGCCTCATTGAAGCTTTTGGTGTGGAGTATACCTTTAGCTGTTTTTTTTTTTTTTTTTTAATTTTTTTTTTTTTACAATTGCCTCTTGAGCATACTTGATTTCTTGAATCCAAAAGCTTAATTTTTTTTTTGAAGCAGAACGAAAGCTTAACTAGAATGGTAAATATCAACCAATTTACCCTCTGGCACAGTCCCCGATCTTCAACCATATTTTAAAATTATCAATAAATCTTTATCATGAATTTGCAAGGATATATCACCACCAATATATTCCTGAAGCTGTGCTTGAACTCAGTTTAATTGAGTTCTAGAATGTTCAATATTGTTTTGAGTATCTGGAAAATCTTATTTATACAATAAACCCACTTTAACCTTTTTGAACTTTGTCCACAGTTTCTTCGTAATACCTATTGCATTTTGTATCACCAAGCATCAGTAACTATAGCCTCAAACTTTCTATGGTTTCTCATGAAAATGAAAAACTTGAAAGGTCTCCCTCTGTTATTTTCAGCTGAAATGATATGCAGTCAAGTTTAATTGCAGACTGTCAATTTTAGTAGCTATTCTATTATCTCCTATTCCTTTAATGTATTTTAGGTAATTTAGTCATCTTTACATTTATAGGGAAATTGCTCTTTTTAATTTATACAACCCCATTCACAAAACATTCTTTCCTACTTTTTCTTGCATGAACCCCATTAACAAGTAACACCCCTATCCTTCTTAGATTTTCTTACAAATGACCACTTGTACAGTTGATTGAAGATACCTTTTCTTTTCTTTTTCTTTTTTTTTTTTGGCCATAGTCAATGTAGACTTCTATCAAGGTTTGAAAAAGTGAAATTTTTTTGAAAATTGTGGGTAAATTTAGGGACCGTTTGGTTGGGAGTAATAATCAAAGGGAAAGGGAATGAACAGGCCCCATTCCCTTTGTTGTTGTTTGTTTGTCACTATCAATCATTCCCTTTACCCTCTTTCACTATTGACTTTACCCATTTTGCTCTAAAATGATTCCCCACCCCCCCTTAGACTTTTCCATTCCTTTTCCCTAGTCACCAAACCCACCCCAGCTAGCAACCTTCTACAGCATAACCACCACCCAGCCACCTCGCTATGGGGAGGGGGCGAGTTCCGGGGAGGTGGTGGTTGGGGTGTAGGGTGGCTGGGAAATGAAGAAAAAGAGTGTTGCTATGGTCACGGTGCTGTGGTGGAGGTGATTCCCTTGTGTTTTTTTATAAAACAAACAACATGCTAAATGGAAAGGGATTCATTCCATTCTCTTTGATACCCTTTCTCCATTCCATTCCGATTCCACCTTGCAAACCAAACGGCCCCTTAGAGAGATGGAATAAAAATTAGTAAGGTGTAAGAAAAAGGCAGGTTAAGTACAGTGAATAGAAAGGTTAGTTATTGTAGGGTAAGTGAGGTACAATCGAATTTAGAACTGGGTAAGGGATAGAAACAAAAAAAAAGCAACTCTAAACAGAAAGTCGGTATACCAAAACAAAAAAAGAATTCAAATGGAGGCAGTGAATTGTTATGTAAGAACGTAACTGAAAATCTCATTGCTAGAACCACGTACTGTGCATGAAAGGTACAATATGTACTTTATTGTGCAATTTGCTACCCATCTATATGTCATGCCTAAGACTACTTAACTCTATCTAGAACCCCATGACCATAGGACCCCCACCTGTATCTTAATCTTTGTAATCCTTATCCATTTCCTGCTGTAAGGCCTGTAACAGGATGACTTGCCAAGGATTGTGGCTCTCAGGGGTTGAACTTGGTTGTTTGGAAGGTGGCTATTCTTACCATCTTATCCTTGAATTTATCTGCGATCTTGTGTTTCCAGAATGAATGGTTCTTCTTACGAAGGGTTGGTCTTAGGTTGCCTTTCAAGAAAGATGACAGCAAAGTCAATCACAGAACATCACTTGCTAGGAAGTTTGTGTTTGGAGTTGGAGTGAACAATTTAATTTCATTCACAAAGCTCTTGCCATACTGTATGAGTATTGTAGAGAGACTTGATTTGCTCAAGTTAGTTAGGTGTTTTCCCTGCTGTTAAAGAGATTTAATGAGATGGAATGCAACTTCAAAACAAATTATTTTCTTATAAATCATTCCTTCATGTCGTGTTCTGAGAATTCATCTCGATAAAACTGTCTCATTCTAGGTAACTTTTTTGTCTGATTATTGACGGAGTTCTTTTGTGGTATCAGCGCTGCAGATTGATGCCCTATGCTATATCCTGGATGATGCTGCTGTGATATGGAAGATTCTCACAGGTAGCAGAGTAACCTTTATGTAATTTTCTGTTATTATTCCCTTATTGGAGGGTTTTATGGTTATAGTTTATTTACAGAGATTGGCAATAAATATATACACTAAGGTATACAGGAGTTTTTTCAGTTACTCTTGTTTGATTGATTGAAAAAATTATGTAGCACTAATATTGCAATAACTTATTTCTGGCCGGATATATAGGTTTAATTAATGATCATTACTATAGATAATTTGATCCCCTTCCCAACAAAAATGCCAACCTTCTCTGGATAGCTCTGTTTCTTCTTATCGTGCCATGTAATCATATCATCATATTCCCTCCCGTTTATATAATGGTGACACTTGTTTTTCACACTTGTCAATGTACAACTTTGTGCATTAGTTTCTTCAGTTATGTATTTTTAATTATAAAATTTGAAATTTGAAATTTGATATTTGAAATAATTAGATAGAGATGAATCTAACAAGATCTCTAGTATTTATTATTATATATATACACCACCAAGTGTTTCAAAACAATCTTTATATACCACAAAGAATGGTCAAAAGTGCAGTTCATGAATACTAGCAAAATTCAAATTGTAAACATTATCTTGAAATGGATGTAGTAAATTGCTAAAATGACTTGCTTTGTATCACACTAGAATTAGTTCATTTCATACACATCAAATTTAAATTTTAAAACAATTGTAAGGTTTATCAATTACCATTGAACAAAGGGACTAAGAGCACTGCATTAACCCAACTAGAATTAATCTAACTCTCGCAAATTGACTTAACTTGCAAAAAATATAGCTGGAACAGTGAGAACGTCTATATTTCACAATAGGTTAAACTATCTTAGACCCAAAACTTGTCAAACAATGGCTTAAATCCAATCAGATAACCCAATTGTTACTTTTAACATTACTTCATTCATTTTTAATTAAATGTAACTAATCCGTATATTTTTAATGGTTTCCTACGCAAACAATCACTACTAATATATTAAGTTACACGGAATCTAATGGTAAAAAAAAATTAAATAAATAAATTATAAATAGATGCAAATCTACAACAATCTATCTATCAACTATTACTAAAACAAAACAACACTTTTACCTTTTCCGCACCTTTTCATCTCTTGCGACCAATACTAACTTGATCATCGGAGGCGGGGCTTCTACTAACCGGAGTCTTCGTGTTTTGCAGGTACAGACCGCGTAGAATCAGTTTTGGTGATTTAATTCTCTCGAGGGACCAAAAAACACCCAAAACAGATGTAGCCATTGACGTCAATCAGAAACTTGTAACTCACGTTTAGAGAACATGTTTTCTCTCTAAAAAAAGTGAAAAGTAAAAAAAAAAGTAATTAATTGTTGATTGATCACCTAAGTTAAGGAGAATCTTGTTTATTTATCACTCTTTTCACGAATATTGATTAAATAAGAATAACGACCTTCGCATTGTAATTCCTACATGATTGATGCTTGTAAAAAAAATCAATTAAATTAGTTTTAGGTATCACAATGCATACATTGTTTGGTGATGAAAATATGAAAAAAGAAGAGCACTAGGGCTAGGATAGCGGATCTTCCTAAAAGGAACGTTATTTTAGCACCCTCGCTCCCGAACTCATTTCTAGTACACGTAGACCAATTTGAGCATGAGTAAACTTACAATTTGTGCTAAATATCACTTGAACTCTACTTGGGAGAAAGACATGAACGAGGTTTATGGTGACTCCTACTTGTTTCTTGCAAAAAAAAAAAAAAAAAAAAAAAACGTAATGATAGAATTAATTCTAATTCAAAAGTCCTAGGCTTTTAAAGGGCCATGGACATTTAAGGAAAGGATCCTCTACGATGGGCACACTCTCCTTACACATATATACAAGCGGAAAAAAATTAAAAGAGTTGAGATGAGAAGAGACGGTTACCTCTGTGGAAACATTGCCTCAAACGATGGTCGGTTGAGTCTACGAACGCTGCAGACGAATTTTTTTTTGAAAAGTAGCTGCAAGAGGTAACATAGTGTCTCTCTCTAGAAAATTCTCTCTCTCTCTCTCTAGACTCGTGAAATGGTCAAAGATGGGAGAGGAGCGGGGGTGGGGTGGGGGGGGGGGTAAAACCCTATTATAGAAGGGTTAAAACGAGGGCATCCCTGTCACTTTAACTAAAGGTGAACCGTTTGTTACTGTTCACCACTTATAGGGGACGCCTATCACAGGAACCCCGTGGCCCGCCACGTCGCCCCTGTGAGGGGAAAATGTTTAAGGTAAAAATCCCTACGTGGCCCAATCAGAGAGGGACACGTGTCATTCTTGGATAGGTCCAACATGGGGCAATCCCCCACTAACACGTGTCAGCCTCAGATGATAAAAGGAATGTCGATCTTCAAGGCCCAATTCTCGAGAAAAGCTGCAAAAGCGGCGCAACCCATTAGGCCAGAATGACCTAATGAGCGCACATTCCAATGAATATATAAATAGGGAGATTTCCTAGAAGATCTCAGCCTCGTATTAAAACTCTATTTATAGGGAATGGATGTATTTGGGGTTTCACGTATTCTGCCGCAGCAGGTGTCGCGCGCATCTGAATGGGTTGCACGCGCATCTGAATGGGTTGCGCGCAACAACCCATTGCAAGTGATTTAGATGCGCTGCTCATATCAGCGCAACTGAATGTCTTGCGCGCGGTATTATTGTAAGATTCGATTATATATTTTTATGAAATTCTGAATCTTCTACAAGCGCATCACTAAAGGTTGCGTTGGGTGTCACGCGCAACCTTGTGAGTTGCGCACGTCAGACCAGCGTTATTTATTGAGATGCGTGCGGATTTCTCCGCAGCAGCATTGATTTTTAACCTAGGCGCCTCTAAATCCCTCATAATTAGGTTCTAACCTCGGGCTTAAGCCTAATTATGACTGGCTTAGTTGACTTGGACCTTAATTCATTTTGTTTTGGGTTTGGCTAGTTATTTTGCATTTTTGTGACTTAACTTGTTGTCTATAAGCATTCCTCATGTTGATCCAACACAAAGATGGCTTTATTTATCGTCATAGCACTTCCTGTCGGGATAGGAGGCCAAAAGTAGATGTCTAAAATTAGCCCCCACTTTGATTGAGTCTAGAATAGACGAGGATAAAAGTAGTCAAGGAAATAAATTTGAGACTCATTCTGCGAAGTTCCCTAAGAATAGAGAATCTTTCAATAGTGTTAAGGATGTCGAAACGATCCTTGATTCGCTAAGTGTTTAAGACAAGTAGCTATAAAGGCTAGAAAAATTATTTTCTAGTCTTAACGCGCTAAAGAATCTAGATTGATAATTTGCAAATGTAGATCGCTTTTACAAGTAAATACTGTCCTGGGTGATGTCATGTAAGGAGAAGATATTGGTTTAAAAAGAGTAAAAAGTATGATATCCTTTCAATTATGGCATCTTTGATCTAAAGTCCCTCGATATGTCATTGCAACTTTAGTCTAATTTTGACAAGCTAAAAAGATGATAAAAAGAGAGGTGTTTTGGCATTCGTAGCTTAACACATGAATAAAGTTCTTGACACTCGCTAGTCAAAACGCAATATTCTGTGTCCACAAGATAGAAATACATGTCTCATGACTGGAGGCTGACGAGGGGTGGAACTAGATCGTTGAAACTAATCCTCCCTCGGTCAAACTAAATTTATAAACACTTAACCAACCTAAATACTAGTATAGAGGCAAGTCAAGGGTCGAACCCAAAGGGACAGTAATGTTCAAGCGCTCTCAATCATGCGCCTAAGCTAGGTCAAAGATAAGGGTAAAGAGAGAACTCTAACAACTAACAAACAAAGAAACCAAACAAATAAAGCACTAGAAACGGGGATCAACAAGTAATCATAACAATTGTAGCAACTCGGAAATACATGCAAGTCAATGGTTGTGAAGACTAATGGCAAGCTCAATCAAAAGAGTCAACAAGCTATCTCCTAGAGGTCAAACTAGTGCCAACTACGAGAGACTATAACTAGGAGCATCACTAATCAAGCTCAACCGACAATTGCAATTCCTAAATCAATGGTCCGTATCTTTAAAAACTACAATGCAATCTAGCATAATTCTCAAGGCCTATCGAATAGCACACATGCACAATTTCCACTAATCACTTTGATCTCAACAATTAATCAACATAATCCCCAAATTAAGCACAATCAATCAATCATTCAAGTTTCACCCAATCCCTAGCCAAATAACTACTCTAATATTATCATCTATCAACAGTTAAGTAAAGGAATCAAGAATCAACAATATATGAAGAACAACTACACTAATCAAGCATCAAACATCAAAATCAATCCAAACAAATATGAAATCAAACAAAGCAATAAAGAGGAGAGGGAGAGTGAGAAATCCTCATTGATTGGTAATGGAGATCTTCAATACAATTGTCATCTTGAATCTTCAACCTCTCAAATAACCATTGAAATTCCTCACTTTCTCTCTCTAAAATCTACTCCTAAAACTAACCCTAAAACTAGAGAGAGAAGCTCTCAACTAAGCTAAACTAATGATCTAAAATTGTGAATTCCTCCCTTTCCGAATCGGGTTACAAAGAGGTATAAATAGGATGCGCGAAGCAAAAACCGAACAAGAAAATACCCAGGGGAGCGGGCCCGCGCGGGCAAGGAGGTGCGCCCGCGCCAGCTTGTGGCGTGCCCGCACCCTTGCCTTGCGCGCCCGCGCTTTTATGAGTTTCTTCGGCTCTTCTCGCGGTTTCGTGCGTTCACTAAGATCTTTGAATGAACGCGCAATATGATAATGATGAACACTAGGAGTGGCAGTCCCAAAAAGCACTTGACAGTGGGTTCAACACCCTATCTTCATGAGAGCACAACTTGGGAGCGTAAGAGCTAGAAGTTGGAGAATCCACTTTCTTGCATATTGAGCTTTCCAATTGCCATGATCTTGCTCCAAAAGCATCTTCCACCTTAGTAAATCACCAATATCAACACCCGTACCTCGTACAATACCTACAACCATGAAAATAGATCAAATAAAGAAGAAAATAGTAGGAAAAACCAACAAAATGCGCAAAAGCTACAAAATAAGACAGGAAAGGTAAAACTAAGACCAAAAGCATAAAACTATGCATTTATTAAGAAGGAAAGATATGAAAAGAAGGTAAAAACAACCTAAATTTCCATCAAATGGGTTCCATTTATGACACCCATCAGAGGCATACACCCAAATCTAGT